GCTGAATTGCACAAAACGCATGATCGCACCGGCTAGTCTGGTGCGCGTTGCCATTTATTTTTTAATGCAACAGTCACGAAGAGGTTAGATTCACTATTCTTTTTTCACAAAGTTTTCTGACAGAATTTGTCGCTAGGCATTATCGACATAATGCGCATCCTGACAATGACTGTACCAACGCGCACAGTTTGATCCTCGGAAGGCGATGGGGTGTTTCTCAGTTATGTGTGACATGCAAATCCTCTGCGTGGAACTCGAATCCCCTTTATGATATATAAATGAGATATTATTAATTCTGACACGAGTTCGGAATTTTTCTTCTGCGTTAAGTGCGTTGGGAAGGGCTGGTGCCCGGTTGACAACTCCCTTCCCGAATTTTATTATGCGTTTCTGCATTTCACATAAATGCATAAAGAGGTTGTCGCATGTGTGAATTGACGCATGCATGTATGCGCGTGGATGAGTGAAAAATCATTTTTTCTGTAGTTCCAATGTATGTGCAATTTTGATCTAACTTGTTCAAAAAAATTAAAATCCATGATTTATCTAAAAAAAAAAAATTCCATGATCAAAGACCGTGAAATTTTGCTTCGATAAACAAATACGGAGCGTGAGAAATGGTTCACTTTCAAAGACCTGTGTGGGAAAGTATATAATAAGCACTTGGAACACAGAGGAAAGTACATAATAAATACAACGCGCACCAGACTAGCCGGTGCGATCATGCGTTTTGTGCAATGTAATTGTAATAAATAGCAACGCGCACCAGACTAGCCGGTGCGATCATGCGTCTTTGTGCAGTTCAACCCATCGAACGATTGCCTGTTAATGATTTTCACTTCCTTGTATTTTAGTCTATGCAAAAATAGTTCTACCATAACGATATTTGCCTGTTAATGATTTTCACTGCTTTGTACTTTAGTCTATGCAAAAATAGTTCAAACATTGAAAACCAGACGTAATGATTTTTACTTCCTTGTACTTTAGTCTATGCAAAAATAGTTCAAACATTGAAAAACAGTTAAGAAAATGATTTTCACTGCTTTGTACTTTAGTCTATGCAAAAATAGTTCAAACATTGAAAAACAGTTAAAGATTTCACTTCCTTGTACTTTAGTCTATGCAAAAATAGTTCAAACATTGAAAAACAGTTAAAAACTTTTCACTGCTTTGTACTTTAGTCTATGCAAAAATAGTTCAAACATTGAAAAATAGTTAAAAATTTCATGCACCAGTTCACTGCTTTGTGCTTTAGTCTATGCAAAAATAGTTCAAACATTGGAAAACAGTTAAAAATTTCAACAGACTAGCCGGTGCGATAATGCGTTTTGTGCAATTCGGCCCATCGAACGATTGCCTATTAATGATTTTCATGCTTTGTACTTTAGTCTATGCAAAAATAGTTCAAACATTGGAAAATGGTTACCTGTTAATGATTTTCACTGCTTCGTACTTCAGTCTATGCAAAAATAGTTCAAACATTGGAAAACATTTAAAAATTTCACGCACCTGCGCATGAAAGCAGAATTCGAAATCTTGAAGGATGAATATCTTTCCGTGATTCCCGAGTTAATAGTTTATCCGTCAAAATTTTCACGAGGCTGTAGGTGGTAACCGAGAGCGCGAGAACGCTGAATTTGAATGGGCAAGGTTGAGGGCGGGCAGGAGGTCATTACCTTAAAACTTCAGCCTCCTAGACTCCGA